ACAGAATTCCAGAAAAGATTGTTAAGCGTATTGCAGCTTTGACTCAATCTTTGCGCAATTCGATTGCTTGACGATTGCTAGTCTTTTCTGCTACAATTGACCTTATTTTCAAAACTGAACCATCCTTTTTATCTTGTAGGAAGATTAAGGTGAAAGCCTGATAACTGCGAATCAGTTTCATGAAGCTAAAATGAATTTAAAAGAAACAAGAAACACGGGACAGCTGTATCATGTTTGAACATAGGAAAATCGAACTGTTCTGAAAAAATGAGCACAACATTTTTTAGTGTTTTCAACATGGATTTTTGTGTTGATATCTGAACTCGCCATGAAATTTGTTACATTTTTATCTGGACAGTTTTCCAAAAACTCTATAAACTTCGAGTTTTCGATCAAATTTCAGGTGGCTGTATCATTATTGAACGCAGTGTATAAATTTATTCCGGAATCGAAAATCCGAAATTAACAAGCCCTACTTTGCTTCGCAGAGGTGTTTGATTATGTCGCACGATGCACGACGATTTGGATAGTTTGAGGAACTTCCATAGATCAAGATTACGAAACAAAATAGGCGGTTGTTTAGTACCCCTAGGCCTGACCTTAGAGGATCGTTTCTGGATTTCACGAGCGGTATCTCGAAGATACGTGCGAGGAAGAGCTGGAAACTAGTTCCCTTAGACAGTTGTTTGGTCGCTGAGGCTGTGCAATCGAGTGCGCTTCTTTGCAGCGTATTGTTTGCCCGGATGTTAACAAAAAGGTTAACAAGCACAAAAATGCCTAACTTCTAACTTTGCGTGGATGATTACAAAGCAAACATGCTGAGAGCAATTATCTCAGTTCCTCAATGAGCTTCATTTATCGATAGTTCCCCATGATTAGAAGATACCCATTCTTCAATGTATGGACCCATTCTTCAATGTATAGAGACAGCTTTTCGCAGAGAGTTATCTCGTTTTGGAATAGCTTACCAGCCGATGTAGTAGACTCAACTACGTCAATTTCCTTCAAGAAAAACATAATCCGAATTCTCAAAAATCAGGGCTGGTACTGAATCCTTTTGTAATCAACAAGTCGTTAACTCAGGGACAGTTGCACAAATGGTTTCGTGCGTTGTAAGTGACGGTCCCTGAGAGCACAGTTTTGTTCTTTCCGCTTATTCGTTCGCTGATCCACTATTATGTATGTCATCTCCTATGCAATTGTGTTCTTGTTCAAAGTAGGTTTGCAAGCTTTATAATCATAGCACCAATGGATGTCACTCCTGTCGGTCTCCAATTTCTGAGTTTTGTCACTTATATGGCCTTAACCCGTTTCGACTAGGTTGACCTCGGCTGAGTTGACGGACCTATTAAGCTGGTATCCGGAGCCGCATTTCAGTCTACCCTCGCGACTTGCAGTGTTGGCGGGCCACTGCTCTTCGAAGCCGAGCGTTCCACCTCTCCACCTCTCCCTGGCCTTCCCATCTTGATGCCATTTTACGATTTTTTTTATTTACGATTTATTATTTATCTCACCAACTATATCGGCTACCTGTTACATAACTGTGTTTTATGTTTTGTTATTAGTAATCACCGATAATAAATCATAATCATAATCATATTCTGTTGTCGGTGGAGTGTTGTTTTTAAGGGTAGCTGGACCAATGCTAGTGAAAAGCCATACGGTCTTTTAGTGACAGCTTTCACAGGAAACGTAAGAGCAGAAATCATGATTAGAAGACACCTCGGACCTGTACTGCTCAATAAAATAATAATGATACAATGATATAAAGCTGGGTAGTAAGCAGTATCTCGTACTCCTTCTGTCTCGGTTAATGCCTCAGGCCGAAAGAACCTTTAATGGGAAACACAGGGCATAAGAGCAACATTGCGCGCTCATCACAACGCGCAAACCATCCAAAAATTGATGCCAACGGAATATTGCCGAATTGATCATAATGGAAAAGTAGCACCACAGCTTTCTAATCCAATTTCTATGAAATGCTCTGTTCTGAATGTGCCGAAGGTAAATTCAGCCACAAGTATCGTAGGAATACTGACTATTTGAGCAGTCGCTCTTGAAAGCTTTGGACCTACTCGACAACACCTTCCTACACAACAGGGTAGATGACTTTCTAGGAGAACTTCGTTTATGTATCAACGCAGAATGCGGCCACTCTGAGGCTTTATACTGTCTCCTGTTTGATTGGAAGCAACACCATCAATTTGATGGTGGTGTAAGCACTTATCGGCTACATTGATTTTTTATGACCAATTTATGTTGTTATCGTATGTTTTGCTCGCCCTCCTCTAGGTTCAACTCTATTTTCCTTGATATCTTAAAAAGATTATAGATTACGCTCTAAATTATTACCAGCGATTCTCTATGGGAGCTGTCTTGATATATTATGGGTAGATCTAAATGTAAAAGAAGTACGGACTTCTACTTAAAGTAGAAACAATTGGTTTAGGCCTTTTGTTTCTATAAGATGGATTGCAAGAATGATTTGTGCTCTCCTTCCTAATATGTATGTCCTTCAGTGCCAGGCCGGGCAGAACGCAATTACAGGAGTAGAAAAGGGTGAATTGCGGCATAAAAGTAAACGACTGACGATAGCCGCATCCTCTCGATCTGTTAATTTGACCAGAAACTCCTCAACAAGATGGAGTCCTACGACATAAATACGCGTATGGTCATAAGGGAAGCTTTCTGAGAGGCAACAGCGCCGAATTCAGAATGCTGCGTGAAGCAGTATGGTGTGCAACGACTTAGCAAGGATCTGGCACCAAATGTGTCAAAAAGATCTGCCAAGACTGTGTCCTTAAATCATTTCCTTCACAGAGGTGGGTTCAATCGCCATTATGCTCGTGTTGGTCACAAAAACCTCTTCCTGTTCTTCAATAATATGTTCTGTCGCTGCGCAAGGTGGCTTAATTAACTTCCCCCAAAAATTCTTGCCTCTGTCAATACTGTTACCTTTGAGCGAAGATTAGAAAAGGTGAATCTTGGCTATGTTCTTGGTCTTTCTCAATGACAAATCGCCAATCTTTACTTTTTAGCTCTCTGTTTGTAGACGGAAGGATATACTATTTCGCTTAACTTTCTTGCCGTATTTACCAGATATCGTTCATTTTCCATACTCGATCTGCCTTCTACTGGAACATAATGAAACCGGAATCTCATTTTTGAACCACGAAAAAGTAATTTATCCATCAAATTAATCGATTTACTTAATATGTGACTTGCTAAGTTGCAATTAATGCTGCTGAACCTGAGTCAATCAGCTGTATTTCTTGGCTCCCCTCAAATTATTATTACCCACAAGTAGTACTAGTTCAAGAGCTTGTTATGGAAAATATCATCCTTTTACTTACCTTGCTATCATTCGCATGCATATGATGCAACTTCTTTACGTCTTGATTTGAGTGCGGGTCAACAAGTGACTTGATCTTTATGAGAGTCCACTTAAGTGTGGGTTTCACGCCTGGGGTTCGTATTTAGATCGAAGAGGTACCTACTTTGGCCAGCCCGGCATAACTACGTTGCGTTTTCCAGACTGACCCGCTCTACTTACTTCAACTTAACTTTGCAAAAAGTGCATGATGCGATGATATGACAATTTTCCCCATACATTTATTTAATCTATCGAATAACTCTTTCAGTAACACATTGGGAATCAGAAAGCTCTTGGCGTGCCTTGATACTACTGAACATGTCTTCTGCAGGTTGATTTACAACAACTTTTGACACAAGTTCTTTAGCTCTGACCTGATTGTCTCATACACATGACCGGTATTGGACTTATTTCTTCAACTCATGGTTGAATGTTGTGTTACTCTCTGGTCCTGCTATTTTATGTTTTTCGTTTCATTCTTTAAGTACTGAATTCTTTGTTCCAGTCCTTGATTTTCTGTCGACTATTGGCTCTGGTGACGCACCTTTTGTCCAGTGAATAAACAAATAAATACATAAATGAATTTCCTACATTGTGCAAAGACGATATGAGGAGAAAGCACGGCTCCTTGCCATGAGCAGTTAATCTCCATAACCCCCTTTCTTGAAAACTCGGAATTTTTATGTGTTCTTGTTACGTTGCGCAGCGCTCTTGTAAGTTCTGTAGCATAGAAGACACAGTTGAAGATGATGTTCTTATCACGGTTGCCTCCTCTGGCTCTTCTGAGCGCTCAATAATGTTCATCACACATATCGTGAACTGCAACTCCGTGTATCCGAACCCCTATCGCGACTCTCCAGCTAAAGACGTACGTTCAGTGTCTCAATTCAAAGTAGGTCCCTTACGGAGGTCGCTTAGTCCGGGATGGCCCTCGCATGCTGTTCAAAGAACTCCATCAAAACTCTCCATCAAAACTTCTGCAGGCCACTTCTGGTGAAGTTACAGCTTTATCATTGATTTTTGTGCAACATAAATCATGGCTTTGTGACTGGAGTCGAGTTGTCAACCTGGGCTTGACGTTGGTACTAAAAACATTTTTGTACTTCGCAGGATATGCTGTTTTCCATCGACAGAGATTCGTTTCGTGGCGAATGGGGATCCAGGCAAGCCTCTATTCTTGACCATTTTTTTGCCTGCATTACTCTTATCCATATTAGAACAACAACACCTTTTAAAATTTGATGAGTAGCTGCGCTTTATCATGAATTTGCAGATGACGAGTTGAATCAATATACCAAAAATAAAAAAGCTGATGAAACTCTCATCAAGCATCCCACTTCAACTCCTTATGAGGAAGAGGCACAGCTGGACAAGTTTTCTGGACTGTTCCATGGCTAACCAGCGCTAATTTGAAATAGCGGAATCTTGTCCATTTGTTCACATTTGCTCATTTTATAAGGTCTTAGTGCCTTTATATTGCGGTTTGAGTGGCGGCAACGGGATTTTTTTTCAATATTCCTTAGGAACTCGATGTTTTTCACAGAGTAGTTTTTTCTACACTACCCTACCTAGGGTTGTTGCTTAAACTTCAGCGCTACTGACTTATTTTCAGAGTTGAATTCTCACCGACTGCACAAACTTTTGGAATGATTATTCTTTTGTTAGTGGCTTCTCTTCCATATAAATAAGTTTCGACAATGATTTCTTCTTTGGTCTGAACACGATAGTATTGGACGCTGCGTAATACCGCACTGATTTATGGAATCACTTCATTATACACTGGTGTGCAAAACTTAAAGACGATGTAGATAAAGTAATCTAACTTGTTGATAGCTTTGTGGACCTTTTATCGGTTGCTGTCATTTGCATTTTGTACTGTACTGGAGTAATTTCCTCTGTGGATAGTTGGATTCTATAGAACTGTGTTACTCGGCAGAAACACGTCTTTGGAAATTAAGGCTCGTCCTTAAGTTTTGCACACCAGTGTATCAACCAAAACTTTTGTGTCGGTTTGTCGGTGTGTGTGTGTGTCGTTCTGTCCGTTCGGACCGACCGTTCACAAAACCAGGGGGTCGAAAGGCAACACTTCGTGATGTTGATGTCATGATCATGATAAACCCACAGCGGCTATATAAAGACCGATCGAGCACACTCAGTCTCATTCTACATGATGCTTCCGTGGCAGCCGGATGAGGGGGGGAAGAGGGGTAGAGGGAAGGGGGCAAGAAAGGGGAGGCTGGAAGGGAGGGAAGGGGGAGAGAGAAAGAGGGAGGGAAGGGGGAGAGGAGAAAGGGAGCGAGAAAACGGCGCTGCCATGCGCCGGAGAAAAGGGGTATAAGGAGGTGTAATTCTTACAATAGTGAGGTGGTTAATGGAGTACGTCATGCTGCTATTCCGTGGTTCCTGCCTACCCTGTAATGTTATCATCCTAACTGAATCAATGTTTTGTTCGTAGTTTTAAAGTTTACCAGGATCTACCGACTTTCCACCTTTATCGAGTCAGATGTCATGCGCGCTACGCGCGCATGACATCTGAGGACTCGATGAAAGTGGGAAAGTCGGTAGATCGTTAGGTTTCACGATAAGCTGATTCGTGAAATGCGCTAGCTGACTGTCCGCTTAATACGCGCGGTGGAGTAGGGAACTAAAGTGATCTCTGTAAACAAACACTATGCATCAAATGTCAGAATGATTTGGCGGTTGAATACTTTGATGTTAATGATGTTGAAATGGAAATGCCCATAATAGATTATCATACTTCTTCAAACATCCATCGGACATTTTTTAGAAGCCGGGGTAGTATAGCAGCCGAATGATAATTTGGGCTGAAGACAACGCAAATGAATGATATTGAAATGAATTGCCCAGGATCGACTTTCTTTTAATCCTGGCGTTGTTGGATCAGATGATTACTTGACTGTAGCCTGTACTACTAAGATATGGAAATTGTCTTCAGTATTGTGGAGGTGTTTGAGCGGTCAAGTCACATTTGTTTTTGACTTTTTCAGGCTCTGACGAAGGCGAAGAAGCCGAAACGTTAGCCTAATAAAGTTACCTAATCTTGGACGGCTACAGTCAAGTACTCATCTGAAATGAATTGCGTTATCTCAAACCTATTTTTGAGTGACCTCTACAATCTCACGCATACCGTTGTTATCAGCTCTTATCAGTCTCTATCACTTCCTGTACTCCACCAAACATACTCCCGTCCTACCCTGCACATCACTTCATGGAACCCCACTGCTGCTGGAACGCGCGTAATAATTTCACGAAATTGGCGTGCTAGCGCCTCTTATCAGTTCTTATCAGTGTTATCACTTTCTGTCCCCTGTGGAGATCAGGACAGGAACGTCATGGAGTTTTAAGAAGGTCACATGCAAGTGAGTGCGAGAGAAGTTTCCTGCCGGAGACCAAGAGGACCAGGAGTTCGCTATAAAATGCAAGTGCAGCCACTGAGGTGGTCTTCCTCTTGTCTCCGGTGGCGCGGGCATTGGGCCTGCCAGAAATTTCCCTCGTCAGAAACCCCCCGTCTTCCGACGTCAAGCAGCTGCCATCCGCCTCTATTTCGAGGATACCCACAACTCGTTGTCTCCGGCTACCTCCTACTCATTCTGTTCTGTATTATTGCCTTTTTGTTAAATACTGTTCTTTTCGATGCTCATTTCAGACACACGTGGGGATATTCGGGACTCATACACTACATCCCCACCAAATATGTTCCCGTTCCACCCCCCCCCCCTATCATATCCCAAAACAAACTCCTGACGACTGCTGGAACGCGTGCCATGAACTTTGTGATAACATCATAACTACGAACAGCTGCCAGCATGTCCACTCGTCGAACAACAGTCCCGAACGAAATTCATTAGCCTAGATTATGTGGACGTCAATACCATTTTATATGGCTGTTCCACCAAAAACATATCCTTTCATCCATACAGCTCTCTACTTACTTCTTAGAATAGTTCATGTGGCCTGCAAGGTCCAATGCGCATACGCGTCGGGCGATCGTCAATGTGTTAAATGAAGATTGGACTGTGGCTTAGGCGCCGCTCCTGTTTCGCTTGGGCATGTTGTCGGTGTGTGTGCGTCGCTAGTGGTTGCCGGAGAGCAACTCTTCTATGAAATACGCGTAATCAATCTGGAATTCATTCCTATTGAGGGGATTCTGAAGGCAGTATCAGAGAGTGGTTCCAGAGAACACTTGTTTGCATGTGGCAGCGTGCGCCAAGACACGTTTCGATTCGAGTTCTGTCAATGTCGCAGGTTCCGTTTCGTATGCCCTTTTTCTCCTCCATGCTCCCATTATAACTTATAAAGCTTCGATATTGTTTTAAATTGAATAACACCATTTTGCGCTGACGTCTAGCATATATTAGCGTTTAGTGTTTTGCGTTTCATATAAATGTCATGATTGAAGAAAACTAACCGCTGCCATTTCATTTGGAGGATCGGAGATGAGCTTCTCAGCGGTAGCGCACAGATTCCTCAAGTGCGTTGAGCGATGAGCTAGTGTACGCACCTCGGAGCGTGAAATCCTATTGCTGCAGTGGGCCAAAGGACAGCTGGGCTTATCATCTGCAAATGCTATGCAAAAACACAGCATATTGTATACGGTACAGTATGACATCAAAGCTCTGCGTACTGTTTTATCAAATTATCGAGAGGCTTGCATAGACTTTTTGTCGAGCTTCATTTTTCAATCTAGACATGCTGCTGTTTGGTTGAATCGAATGCGCACCTCATAAATTAGTACAAGAACGGTTTAGCAGTTGGTTGCACCGTAATTCAAGTTGCTCTGGAGCGCGCAGTTCAACTCGAGCACGGGCACAGACGTCCTTCAAACGCGACTGAGCCTTGAGCCCTTAACCACCCATTTCCGTGACCATTCTAAGGTAGTCACTCTAGAAATTTTCGCAGCGTTCGCTCTCCCGCTTGTAAGGCGGAGCCAACACTGCTCGCGCCTCCTGATGGGGGAAAGCCATAAAGGGTCGCTCTCCTCCGCGTCTGAATGTTCGTACGACCATACTCTACCTTCTACAGCGATGGTACCCGTACAGTTGTTGCAGTTTTTCGTCGTGACTCTTGGGTGGAGTGTGCAGAGAAAGGGACGAATGGGTATCTTGAAAACAGTGAGTCGATATCACGTGACACAGCGCGTCTCATCGCGAATGTATACGGTGGAGTCAATTCACCATACTGATATATCGTTCCTGGTAAATTGCTCGCCCGTTGGGAGTGGAAGTAGAGCTATTCAGAGGTGTAGAGTAAAGGAAATTCAAAGAAACAGTCCGACATTTGCAAAACAGGAACTGTAATTTCTGTGTTGATTTCCGCATTGGGCCTATCTCATCAGTGCTGACTTCATCAACGAGAGCGCTCTTCTCTGCCCCCTTGCTGAAGGCTGAAGACCAGTTGCGAGGGACCAGCAAAAGGAGTAGGCAGTTGGTGGGCGTAGACAATCGTGCTTGGGAGGTCACCGCCGGTGCTTGGGTGCTGCTGGACTGCTGTGAGCGCACCCTTCACAGCGAAATGCGCCTCGCCCCACTCCCCCAGATGACCTGCCTTTACAAAAGATATATTCAACCTTTTTCGATATCCGATACATCGCACCACCTTCGTCTGATACACTGGCACTGAACTGTTTTTGTAGCGGCGTACGTGGGCACGTGTGATGGGCCACACCTGATGAATTCTCCCCTTCGTTTTCTATCAGTGGTTTTTTTCTATTTTTGTTATTATTATCGCCTGGATGATGGATTTTCATATGGATTCTTATACTTCAAAAACATGCCCTGGAAGAAAAAGGTGTGTTTATGAGGGCATCGTGTAGTGATGGTTGAGCTGCAGAATGAATTGAAAGTAAAAAGATAGCAAGAGAAACCATCGAAAATGCTAAAAGGTGCCTGAACAGGTGCCTGAACCTCCAGTAAGCTCAGATGAGGTACGACGGAGAGACAAAGCAGTCAGAGAAGACAAAACACGCATAACAGCTCGCTGATCTCCACATGAATCGCGGTGGGGGGAGGGGAGGGTTGCAAGGGTCGATGGTTGCAAGCCCGTAACGATAAACGCTATGGGCAGCGAGTGATAGCTTTCACGATCTCTGTAGGTACGGCTACAAACAGTTCACTCACGGCGTGGTTCCCACCAGTGATCCTTGGCTGTGTGTAATTCAAAACTCAAACTCATGACGCAAAAAAAGTTGTCGAACAAACCAAGTCCTCTGCGAGCGTGAAGAGTGGAAGAAAGCTATCATTTAAACGACATGACGCCCGTGTGCAAATAGCATCAACATCTGCATTCGATAAAATCTTTAGCAAACTGAACATACGACGACAACTAGCACGCAGAGTGTGCTACATGTCGTTGTACCATCACCCCACGTATTGCCGCGTGGGACGAATATTTTTATGAAGTTCTACGGTATAACCGGTATAACATGCAACAGCATTTCAATTTTTTATGTGCCGTCTTAAAAAGCCATGAGTTGTTTGTAAATGTTGTGACAGGTTAACGGCTGGTTGAGCTATCAACCGCTATTCAAAGATACGTAATACATAGTGATATGCTTACTGTTGGAAACGTCGCGGGCGATCTTTTCCGAAAGACAATCATAGCAGAAGCGATGACGACAGTTGATGAGATGCATTCTAGCTACGTTGACACATGCGAAGGCTCCACGTCGTGCTTCACACCTGAAACATAATGATACGGGTCGTTCGAAAGATGTTTGAGGGTTACCGCGTTTCCTTTAGATTTAGTTTGTCCGTATTCCCAGTCAGGGTGGCACACACCAGGGAAATGATAGAGAGGGTTCCAACTTTTTCGCGTCAGGTACGACTATTGTTCTATTTTGTTTGCTCTTTTCTATAAATTTTCGACTAGAACACAGTAAACGGAAATACAACATCCCCCTTAAAACCGTTCAGACCTAAAATTGTAAATATGAAAGATGAGCACTTTTTTGATCTGGTCGTTATAACGTACAGCATGTTATTCCGCTGGGGGGTTGTGTGTGTTCACATTGTGTTGCCGAAAATCGTACTTTGCTCGATTCAGTCTCGTAACGTTCTCATACTTTCATTAATGAGTTAGTCATAAATAGGCATGATATAATCATGCAGCAAATCCTCGGGCTACCGCCCATCCATGCGCTTGGTCTCGTCCGGTCAGCAAAAGGAACTGCGCCACCTCACTCCTTAAATCCTTCGTAACTGACGGTAATTCAACCTTCTCTAGGAGACATAATGCCCATCATATCCGACCATGTTGTAAACTGTCATAATTTCATCACTGGTTCACCCGGAGCAAAGCCTAACTATTAGGCCTTCGCTCGCGAGTGCACGCAGATGAACTCATTTGCATTTGAAATTCGGGGGTCGGAATAACAACAGAACCCAGACGGTTCTTCGTTGTCGCCTTCGGAAATCAAAGCTGTTCTCGGCATATACAAACCTTCCAAGATAAAACCTTTCAACATGCGCGAGACCTTTTCTAATAAGAACCATCCTACGGGAACGCGTTGTTCAGGAGTTGGAGCGTTAGGCGATACTGGAAAGGTCACTCGGCAATCATTTGGGATTTTGATGCATTTCTTTTCAAGGAAGCTATCGAGATCGTCAGAAATGTGACAGTAGATAGACCAAAGGTCTACTAAGTAAGATGTTCGCGGAATCGTGATGTACGTCCAGGACACCTTTCAAAGATGTGTCCACCCCTTTATAATGAGGAATGCTGGACACATGTCTTGGAGTTTCTGGTGAATTTTGGTGTAATGGTAAGACTGCTTCTCCACAGTAACAGTTCCTGGTTATGCGGAAGAACCAGGCCAGCCGTCGACCTTGAGAAAAGTTACCATAATCCTCCTTCAGCACAGTTTAAGTTTTGCACAGTTTGTAGAGCTCCATCGCCGTCGAGCTATCCAGCAAAGCTTCGCGTACTGTAGAGAAGAATCCGCTCTACATTGTACGCTGCAAATCTATAGAAAAACGGGTCGCTATTATCACATGAAACAAGCTACAATTTGATGGACGACCCTTCAGATTGGTGATTTGTCGCGGCACCTCCCTATCAATTTTTTGGACTTTCCAGCCGCTCCCGTATAGCTTGGCTCTACAAACCATATAAGCCCAGCTTGGGCAGAACCTCCTCCTGCTGTTTTGATGAGCTTTTCCCGCTCTTTCTCATGCTTAGCTTAGCTTTGTCCTAGAACATCTTCTCACAGCTTTTTCAAAGCTCTTTTTAATACTCGATGAGCAAGTTGGCATGACTTTCCTTTTCTAGCTTTGAATAGACCTGAAAGTAGCGGGAGCAGTTCAACGATGTATGAACGATGCACTTGGCCCAGATTCGCAATAAATGTGCACATGTGCAGTAGTTCGAAAAGCTATTATAACAAAGTGAGAACCTTGGGTATGATATTAGTGGTAGTCAGATATCGGACGTTACCACCCATTAGCCAAAAGTTCTGATTGAGGCACTCGTACATAAGACCATTTTGGGACACCCTGCATGTCGCACTTTCGTTTCAAAATTGGGTTTGCTGTCAGTCACCTCTGTCGTTCATCCAAGTCCAGCACAGACAACGTATGCGATCCGAAGGATATTTGTGTGACTGTATTTCCTTCAACACCTGAAAAGTAAACTTTGGTGTCCGAGAGGATTCTACTTTCCTTTTTTTAGCCATCTTACCAGCCATTTCATCGACGATCACGTCAGAAGACCTCGTTCCAGAACAAACCGGTGCAGGGCAGAGTGTTCCTAGGAGAGGTGCATATTTCTAAGGAGCGATCTTTCTCACCATTGCAAGGATCAACGCCGTATATCAATATTATAGGAGAGTGCTGATATCTAGGCGGATGCGAAAACTCGAACTCATGTCTTTTGATGATTGCCGCGAGTTTCGGACATTTTCTGCAATGTGCTCCGTGCCCACAACCCTTACACTCCATTTCATGAGCAGTCGATTTGTTAGAGAGGAACATGCCACCGTCAAGAGATCAGCTGTAGATCAGCTGGTCTGAGCGGTATATCGATAAGGAGGTGCTTGGGGTTGATCGCGGGGGGTCATGAGAGGCCACATTTGCCATAGAAGAACAAGTCGGGCGGGAAGGTCCCAATAAAAGGGGTCCGCGTTCTACTGCCTTATTCTAGTTCCAGTTCCAGCCGCAGAGCTCCGGCGTTCCAGAGCTCTGATGTTCGTGAGTTCCAGCACTAGACTCCAAGTGTTCCAGTGGCTCCTGTGTGGTGCCTTACCTGTGTAGTCGGTTGAGAGCTGTACGGCCCGTAGAAAAGAAGGCCTAGGCTCCGGAGAGGTAGCCTTTGTGGCGAGGTAAAGGGACCCTCAGTGGCTCGTCAGAGAGGAGTCTTTGTGGCTCGGTGGTTTGGCCTCAGTGGTCTGTAGAAAAGGACCTTAGTGGCTCGGTCGGTTGTAAGAGCTTCGAGGGCTAAGCCTTGTGGCTCAACGGTGAAGTCGGATTACGCCCTGCACCTGTCGTGGACCTCCGATCAGTGATATCCCAGCCCTCGGATACCATCCACCTCCAGCGATATTTGTCTTTCATTCATTTGTTGTTGATTTCAACTAACAATAAACCTTCCTTTTCTACTTGTCTGGAGCACAGTTAAGGGTCAGTCCCTCGTCGCAAAACCACACATCCGCATACCTTACAGAGTGAAAAGCGCTGGACCTCGCCTATTTGCGTGTCTTATACTCCTACAACACACGCCCTGAGGGCTCTCCTGTTCAAAACAGCATACACCGGCACTGGCGCAGATACCCTACTGGGCAGCGCCCTCTTTCCCAATACTGCTATAAAAACTCTGGTCAATCTTAAATACAATAAAAAGGCCAAGAAAGCAACAACCCATTTGCAATAGCTGCAGACGGAAAGGCTGCGTCGTACTGCTGAGATAGTGTGGATGCGGAGGGGTGCAGACGACAAGACGGATTGCCGGCCACCCGTCTTCACTATAAAGATTCGCTATGGAACGGCAACGTTCCATTGCGGCGCAGTTGCGCAGCAGCGCTAGAGAGTCCGTGGGACCGCCCCCCTCAACCGGCCAGATATGGACTGTAAATGATTCCCTTCGGTCTGTAGTGTCTCTCTAGAGGACAATCGCAGATGCTGCACTCCCTGATGGGAATCACCTGAAAACGGCACCTGCAAATTTAAGTGCGGAAACTGCGATATTCCTATTCTTCTTGTCCAGCGCCATCTCACCTGCTGCGATCTGTCGCCCCTAACTCTCCTCTCCGCACTCAGTCTCTCATTGCTTAAGCACATTCGCATTACAAAGGTGAGCAAGCCCTCACCCTGAGTGTTTCCGACAGACTTTTCTTTTTTTCTTTGGTGCCGGCCCCTTTCGCGCCAATACTTCAGTTGTGAGGGATACACAAGTTTAAACCTGAGCCGTGCCTTTGAAGTAAAAAGAGCTTTTCGCCTTTCCACCGACGTTTTTCATAGTGATCTGCAAACCCTTTATACAAGAGAACAATGATCCTTCCTTCATTCATCTCGACGCATTGATAATCCCAGCAGCTGCCTCAGTGGGTCTATATATTGAAAGGATTTTGCTTCAGAGTCAAACAAAAACTTGGAATGAATGGCTGCCACGAATGTTTTGCCGTCATAATGAATACAGGCACCTACATATTCGTCATTCCCTTCAAAGCAAGAACTGTCCAGTTCACTGAAAATTTATGCGAACACTGATCACACTGCTGTTGAAAATAGGAACAAGCTTTTTTTGCACAGCAGCAGTAAGAAGGGATGTTTGGCTCTCTCTACTAATGATGAGTGTTTTCTTTCGAATACCCAGGGCAGTATTGGCTCTGTGGATGTCAGCTATAGATTGAGAAGACAGTTGCATAAGAATATGTCGAGAAGTACAGAGCAACCAAGCCCGCCACTCGAAACTCATGCTGTAATAGCAGTTCGTGAAATTATAAGAGCGTGAAGGACTGGTAGTTGATCAAAATCCTATAATAGGATGCCTCTAAGCTAGTATCAAGGAACGATTTAGGTTGGAGTAACATTTCCACATGGAAGAGGTGATGATCTCTCCGACGTTTTATTTTGCTTTGTTTGAATTTTTTGCGAGCTTAGAAATACAGGAAATTAGACCTTTATTCAGCAAAGTAGAATTACCTGGGCATTGGGCCAAACACTGCACGCAGAAGGTGTGTTTGCAGCTCAACTCCTGAATAAAAAGGAAACACTTTTGCAATGATGCTTGTTGTCCGAAAATATACAAGTTTTTGCGAATTCAAATGCATTGTGCTGCGCACGCGTCAGTCATTGCATGCTCCGCCTCCACCGTTTACCCAGTCTAGGCTAGACTCAAGAGCTGCCTTTGCTGGTGGGCGCTCTTCGCCTCCGGGAGGAGGAAGTGCGACGCAGATAGGCAGATAACTCGATGTGCCACGTGCACTCGGCGGTGTGGTCAGGAATACTGCACCGTACGTTCGGAGCGCTGTTAAATTAGCGTCCGCTATATCCGATTGACGTTTTCGCCTGTAGGTGAATTTCTGATGGCCGGCGAAGTGTCTTTTCACCGCTTTTCGCTTGACGCAACTCTACCACGCCTAACGTTGGTCTGGCACCTTCAAGCCTGGCAGAATACTATGTCAAGAACGCTGTTCGCATTGCATGTTTAGGACTTCTTAAAGAAGAATCGGGGCGAGGGCCCGTCCAAGGCACAGTCGGTATGTCATGTGCGCTTTTGTTATGGAGATGCTCCCAGGATGGGGAACTCCCCGTACAGGGCTCGGGCTACTAATCTACCTCCTCCTCGTGGATTGTCGGTTCTCGCCCTCCGGTGGATCTCCTTTTCGCTTGTAAAAGCTCATAAAGCCCTGAGGAGCGGAGGTCATGTAGGTGTGAAACGAATCATGAGTGAATCCCCGAGAAAGATCATAAGCAGACGAATGCCTGGGGAAGGCCTCGAGAGCTCTTAACCGTTTTGACTGTCAAAGGCTTATATGGGCGAGTGCTCTCGAGCCGCGACATTAGCGTTGTTTCGGTAGCTTTTTCTTTGTCACAAAATCCATTAATTAAAGCGTTGCGGCAAGGCAACATAGAGGATTGAAACGTTCATGCTAATCTACGACCAAACTGCTGTGTTTATTGCATATAGAAGTTAAAGGAGGCATGCGGAGTAGACCGGCTGTGAAGAACGAAGGTGGAACACCCTATGCTCAAGGGTTCATTCGTCATCTTTCAATTCGGCTAAATTAGACACTAAACGAGAGGAAGAGAGGAAAGGCGAGAGCGCAGTGGATTATAGAATGATTGTTGATAATGAGGAAAAGTGAAAAGGGATTTGAGTGTCGTAGGCCTAGCAAATTTATAGCGCACTGTCGAGCTAGAAGAAGGTGATATTCCTACTAAAGTGAGCAGCTGTCATGAAGCGGTTGACCCAGCTGAATACATCTTGAGGTGTGCCTTTAAGTGCTTCATAGTATTGAAGAAGACATCACATGTTCACAGAGTGTACCATATGGGTCTTGTGGGACGACAATATTGCAAATATGGAGCATTACTAATGATTAACAGCTCTCGTAAGCTCCAGATGAAGTGTTACTGAACTGTCGTCAGACATATGCACACCATGGGGAAATTGTTGACTTTGTGGTCTGAGCCATCTTCTTTGCTACGCAAATCATGAGGGAACATCGGAAATCACCACCCGAGTCATGATCATTGTGAGAGCATTTCTGACGGTTGAACCTGGTATATATCTGGTTGTCTCTCATTCAAGTAATCTACTTCAAGCGAGGTTCTGGATGTAGGATCGCGATCTGAAAAGTCTCAAACATTGCTGACGTGATAGAACGAACAAGAATAATAGAGTTGTATGTCTCGAGAAAGGAAATATGGAGCTGGGAGTCATGGCTAGGCGAGTTTATTTTAGAGTCAACTTTTACTGCAATGACTGAAAAACGAAGGAAACGCATTTACAAATAAGCTACTCTGCTATACAGTGCAGCTGATGGATACATATTGCAGCTGGATGAGGACCCTCCGAAGTCAACTGGGAACAGACTATCTCAAAATGAAGCTCGCAGTGCTTTCCGTACGTGCTCACCTCCGGGTGCACCTTTTCACTTTGTATGGCGCTGAGTGGAAGCACTATTCGCGAGGACGATTTTATCACAATCCAGCAATCAACAGTTTAACCTGTCAGCAACCGGTCGCTTACGCAGCGTTCAGATTTGGCGATTGCACGTGCGATTGGGTGTTTAGGCGATTAGGCGATTAGTCTACAATGAAAAATATAATATAGATTAGGCGATTGGGCGAGTAGGCTAGTAGGCGATCGCTCAATGGGCGGAACAACAAAGCAATACGTATCCTTCTCTTATCGCCTACTCCCCTACTCGCCAAATAGCCTAATCGCACGTACGATCGCCAACTATCAATGCTCCAATACTCAATTTTGTTAATGATCATTTTCTGTCGCCTCTTCTCTCATCACACTTCCCGGGCACTTTGCGAACGAAAAGAGATAAGCCAGACCTGTGTTGAATGTCGGGCACATTCAAAAATGGACACAACAAGTGATCCTATTGTATATTATACAAACCAGCCAATTGTGTCTGTTGATGTGTGTCCCTGTGTTTGCGTGTTTGACAGGAAATTCGTAGAGCGCGTCGCAGCAAAGGTGATACGTTGGCTCTTACATATGTTCTAGGGGTGGGACGGGTGAATAGATGGTGGGTGATGAAAATGATAACGATCAATAGGAGTTGATGATGAAATTAAGGAAGCAAGTGTCCTTAGTTTTGTTTCGCAGAAGGTGTTGATATGAGAGCCTCCATACTTATAAGTGTAGTGTGGGGTGGTACGGGAACATTAGTGGTGGGATTGAAACTGATGCCAACTGATGATTGCGAAAAGGGGGGGGGGTCACAGGACAGTGCCCGCATAACCTGCATATCACTCGCTGCATTTT